CTCTTACAGCAGGGAAACTGTTGGTAGCTGATCATTGTCACCTATTTGTCACTGATGTCTTCTGACCTCTAGCTCTCTGCTGCCTGTGCCTTGAAGTTAAAGCAAAATGTCTGTTTCACTTCTTTTTTTCCCTGGTATTCGGGACTAAGTTAAAAAAGAGACATGAAATTAATGTAATGTCAATGGCGTTTTCTCATAAAACCCCAAGGCACTCAGTCAAAGTCACCTTGCATAGTCCTCTCATCCCCTGACAGTAGTGTGAGAATGAGATGGAGGATGTGTGTCTGGTAATGCTGTCAGCATATGATGCCCTTCTGTTACTGATTGTTATATCCACTCATAGTCATTCAGATTTTGTACATTGTATACATGTCGGATACTTATCTGAAGAATGGCAACATTTATACTTAGTCGGATGTATAATGTGGCCTACAGTGAAACATGTACTCAGTGTGAACAGGTTCATCCTGTGGGGTTTTCTTTCCTTTTGATGTCATTTTGGAAGTGATAAGTAGCTTTCTGTCTCCTGGTCCCTGTCTTACAGCACCATCCCCCAGCCCAAGCAAGGTGCTAGCAGCATGGAGGTTTGTTTGAACTTGCATTGATCCAATGTGGGATTACAGCTGGGTCATTGGAGAGTTGGACTGAGCTACCAGTCATCAGGGCAGATTAACCACTTGCTGTCTGCTTGGCTGCCATTTTAGTGCAGGCTCTCGCTGCTGACTTTGTGACTGTGTCCCTACTGTGCAGGACAGTCAGTCTCCTTTTGGACAATACATTTTTATATCTTACTGTAATAAATTAGGTTCAGAATGATTCACTATGTAACGGAAACATAATGCTTAATGAAACAAGACAAGAACGATGGTTGAATAACTCCTTACATTTCCTGACTTTTATTCAAGCAATGTATTAAGAATTTAATTGTAATGTTATAATGTTATTTAATCTTTATTTTACAGTCTTAAGATTTTGGACAGGGTTTTGTACAAACTATATGTATTTGATTCTCCTTTGCATCACCATTAACATTTTAGCCACTCCTTTAAATGTTAGTTAAATCACTGTTTGGTATGGGAAAATGTCACCTAAAGAAATGCTTTGCAGAGGAAGGGGAAGTGCTGCAGAAACTCCATGTTTTGCAGCCTGCCCCACCTCGCTCTACATTTCTCAAAGCCTCCTTTTTCACTTTTTTGTTCGCATGCCCTTGTGATAGCTCTTATTAATTATATCTCATTAGTTGCCTTGGAAACTGAGGTGAAGAAATGTATAACATGTGTTCAAAGAGTGAGAAAAAGAAAAAGAAAGAAAGAAAACATAAGAAAAAGCAAGTAAGAAAGAAAAAAATAAGGGGAAAGGTTGAAAGGATGGTATGGAGACAGTGGTTGTTGTTGAGGGAACAGCTGTGTGTCAGATTAGCATCAGGAGACATTAACACTAGTGATGCTGCTGGGGCCACAATTCTGCCTTTCAATGCTGGAGAGGGAGATAAGCACACTCTCACAAAGGGAAGAGGGAGAGCGTATGAGAGGGCTGGCTTGCCTCCACTCCCCTCAGGCCAACAGCCCCATTTACAGGTAGAGCACCTCCTGATGAAAGCAAGAACAAAAGAAGTGGATGTTTATTTCCTACTGCGCTTGTGTCAAGGCTCCATCGAAACAAATCGGTGAAACTGTGGATTTGGGCCGCTTCGTGTTTTGTCTCTAGCCTGCCAGAAGCGAATCGTAACGGAACCATAGTGTTGACACTTTGACTTCGATACACTTAGGAACACTGTCATGGACTGTTTCAGAGATTACTACAAGAGGCTTGCATCCTATTCAGCATTTAGTTCTGTCATGATCATGTTGTTCCAGTGTATATGAACTCGTGTTGTGAGGGCTGTGATTCATTCTTATGTAACTAGTCGAGTGTTTGAATAGCAAGGAAAGGTCTCTGCCTGCTAATTGTTGAGTGGCTGAGAGCGATGTGCGCATGTCATCCAGCCTGTGAAAGGATCCTCCCAATACACATAATAACCACAGAGAGTGAAGCCACGAGAGATGAGTCTCTATTGTTGTTTAGTCTCAAACTTACATTCAAGATAGTAATAAAGGGAAGGGTGTCCCAAGGTGGTCTCTCCCTTCTCTTCTCTTCATCTCTCCCCGGGTCTTTCTGCCTCCCCTGCAGACAGCATGTAGAAGGGTCCTGAATAACAGGAAGTGCAGGGGCAGGAAGTTAAGTCTTGTCTGCCCACGGCCTGTGGTAGGATACTGTGGATAACGCTGCCTTGCACAGGAAACACAACTGTCACAGCTATGTTCGAGACTTTGCCTGCTGTCCATCGCCTTCAAAGAAGTAAAGGCATGCTTGCCACACATAGGGGGTACAAGTCAGATAGAAGGAATTTTCAAATAACCTTCACCATATCAGATTTTATTTGGTCATTTGAGATGTGAACTGGAAAAGATTGTATTGGTGTAGATTTAGCTGGTACAGTTTTATTACATAACAAATATACACAATGGCACTGTCCTCATTTTTTGTTCATTAGGTAAACCCTGCAACATAAATCTAGGATGTATGTTACCTTTTATATAGGACAACAGTTGAGGGAGTAATGCCTCAACTTTGTGTGGAGTAGGAGAACATACTGGAGCCAGTAATTACACTGGGAATTGAACATGCTTTATTGAACGTGAAAGGGCCATACCTGTCACCACGCCTCCCAGTGTCTCTACAGTCCATCTTAATGGAGAAGGAGGCTTTGCGCTCACTTGACCAGTCTCATACCTCATCATGTAGAGGATCAGTGTGTCTCTGGTCAAAAACTGTTGTAATGCTTAGATGGGTATTTATTCTGGTGTGCCTCTCAGTTGTTTGTGATGTTTAGTGTAGAAACTCAGTGTAGTAAGTGTGCATAATGTAATTTAAAAAAATGTAAAAAAAAAAAGGAAAAGCCTTTTTCCATCCCATCAGTCACATCATGGGCTATGTAATCCATCATTTCAATTATAAATTTTTAAGATTAGGGGTGCTATTCAAATGCAAATTGCATGTAATAAATATTTCATTTATCTACATTTTAGGTGTTTTATGTACTGAAAGACTGAAAAATTGTACTTTAAAAATTCCATGTACACAGTTTATAGACTTTAACACCAGTGCCATTTAAATTGTGCACGCATGAAGTCTTTGTTCATAGTGTGTTTTTGTGTTTTGTGTCATTGTTGTTTTTGTTTTGAATTTTATATACTCTTGAGAAATAAGAAAACAGTCACTTAACAATATTTTGCCATATCATGCTGCACTGAAGGTTGCCACTAAACCCACTGTGTAATAATTTGAGCAAAAAGTGATAACTTATTACTTTATGTGCAAAAACATATTGTTTTGCACTGCTTACCATTTTTATTACATTTTTAGCTTTAATTAAATGTGTTATTACATTATGCACCGTTGTTACAGCATGTGCAGTTATTACATCGTTGAGTTGTTACAGTTTCACTGGAGCGAGACTGCAGCATTTTGGAGGAGCACGTAGCTTTATAGATGCTGCTTATGTCACACATTACACATTCACATACGACATTCTCTGTGGTCATTTCAGACCAGCCCAAACAGATGATTACACATTAGTCAACTCAAAAAAGTTTTTCTAAACCAAACTGCATCAAAATTTAAAGGCACCAAGTAAATCTTATCTTTTTTATCCACTGAAAAAAAGTAAATGATATAGAGGCTCATAACCAACGCAGATCACATTCTGTATGAATACACAGTGACAAAATAATTAAAATACTAATATGCAATATATAAGTGGTCAGCTGTCTGTCAGGATCATCACTTGCCATAAAGCATTGATATTGTCATGAACTCTGATGTAAATTATCTCCCATACTATATAAATAGTAAGGTGTGGCTTTGCTACAATATGTCTTTGGGGGTTCTGTTTGTACGTGACCATTGCTTTGTGTGTGAAATGAAAAATGAACAAAAACATCATCATTCTCCCTGACCTGCTGTGATGTGGTTTGGGGAAATTCTTTGTGGGGGTTCAGGTGGTTGCTTTCCTGGCACAGATAGCTGTATGTGGGTAGTTAGTGAGGTGATCTCAGTCAAGTTTGCCTACAGTGCAGCCCCAGTTCAGACAGCCAGACACCATAATGCCAGTCCATCTGTAACCTGTAATGACTGTGTGCCACTGGAACTGGTCATTTCTGTTTTCACTGCCAATTTGGCCCATAGCTTCCTTGCCTCACAACTGCTGACTGCATCTAATGCCCTGAGTTGTTAACCTTTCTGCGTTTATACTCACAGGGGAAATGTTGTTGTTTGGACATTTTCTGTTTGCTGGGTGCAGGTGATGGATGCCCTTCCAGGGCGGGGGATATATCTCTTCTTGCAGAGAAGCAGACAGGACAGAGTTAGATGTTCCCTGGGGAACAGTGCAGTCTGAAGTACTGGCCAGGTTACAAGCTCATGTGGGAATGTGCCCCATCGTCCTCATCCTCACTGGCTTCTCCTCCTACTCAGGAGAGTTCATCTCCTGTCAACCCCAGACTGGGTGCTCTCTCAATCATCTTAAACGCAAAGCTGGCATCAGGGTGGGCCAGCTCAGGAAGAACAAGAAAATGTTGCTGTTCCATCTCTACATGCAGGATCAGATAAACAGACTTTCTCTGGGAATGTGAATTTAACTGTGGAAAACATGTACTGTGGAAGTTAAATGAATGTAGTCAGAGTACTTAAAGTTAGAGATTATTGGAAATACACTTATTTTCTTACTGAGAGTCACTGAAGTGTGAAGTCGTCTTTCATCGACTTCAGGCGTGGTTCATGTACAGCAGTCGAGGAGATAAGGGCAAGCCATGCGGGTCTCATACTTTCTGTGCTTGAGAACAGAACACAAAGCCCTCCGGTGCTTTGATGTGCTTAAGGAGACATTGTTGAGTGTAAAGTTAACTTTCTGTTTTTCTCCCTCTCTCTGTCTGTCTATTTTTCTGTTGGTCCTTTTACAGGTTGTGGTGCAGTCTGCTGAAGAGCGAAGAGTGCATTGTGAAGAGTGAAAGAGCACATACAAGAAGAGGGGCTGTTGCACAATGTGCTAGGAGTGTGGGGAAGGAAAGCCTTTTGTTTTCTGATATTGTTAAGGTGCCAGAGAGACCATAAAGGACGCAGGCAATGGGGCGGAAGAAGATACAGATCACCAGGATCATGGATGAGCGGAACAGACAGGTGACAGAATGTCTATATATCTACCTACCTATCTGTCTGTTTGTCTGTGTATCTGTTTTTTTACAACTCATTTTCTCTTATCTTGTTTTACAAGATGCCACTGTTTCATTAGGTTGTGTCAGAAAAAAAAACTTGCTTGCTACCTGGTAACAGGTTACAGCCTTCCTGTGTTTTCCTTCCTGTCTTGGACCAGAATTCAGCATCTGTCATGATGTGAATGGATCTAAACAGACATACCTCCCTTTCCAAAGTCCTAGCCAGTTGAACAGCAACCATGACATTTCTTTGTCAGCACAATTTATTTACTGTACAGTCATGATTCCCCTGCCACCCTACAATTTCAGCCAGAGATCTTGATGAGGCATCGGAAGCACTGAGCTGCAGCAGGGGCCTCATGGTGTGGGAGTGATGACTGAGGGTAGCGAGGAGCACAGCGGGTTGCCTGTGGCCTACCCACACTGCAGGGCTTGTCCCCTGGTCCGGCAGTATGGCTGGGCCCCATTGCTGAAGCCCTGTGTGCTTGCAGCTGTTTGGTAGCAATTAGGAGCAGCCACTGCACCACAGCACCCTCTCATTTGCAGGGTGGGTCAGCAGGACACACAGCACCGTTCTCTGTCTTGGCTACACTGGTTCCAGCTAGCCACAGACAGGGAGAGAGCTGGAATTCAGTCTGTCTGCTCACATTAAATATAAACTCCTAGACAGCAAAACACTGTACAAAACAGCCTGGGCCTGTTTGAAACAAGAATAACAGGCTTGAGTATCTGTAGCAGGAAGGCTGGGTTCATTTCTTTTTTAAGCAGCGCTCCCTTTGATTTAAGAGCTAAGTTGAGGAACTGTGAATGCAGTTTTTGACAAATTACCCCAATTAATGAAGATGCATAGGTTTCCTGTATCCATATAGAACACATCTTGTTAACACCTCAATATAATTTGCATTCCCTCACAGGTGAAGAACATTTTGCTGTGCACACAGAAATATAATAGAGGCACAGTAGTGCTTCCTCTCCTCAGGGTATTAACATGATAGGGTACTAGCCAATCCGTACTCTACCTGTGTACTCTTCGAAGTTCAGCAAAGTGCAAAACAAAAATCCACACTGTGGAACAATTATCAGTATAAGACCTGGCTCTGGGTGGGATCCAAACAGGAGGGCAGGAGAAGAATCACTACCAGTTCGGTGATGTTATCTACACTGTAAGCAATGAGCTGTGACATCAGGGACAAAATAAAAGAAGGAAAATGACTTGAAAACAGGTTGTCATGATTTCTAGGTGAGCAAGTTAACCCTTTCAGATGATCTGTTCTTTACAATGCATATATTATGAAAGGGAGGAAACATTTCGCTCACTTGTTTAACAGGAAAGTGAAGCTGCACAGCTTATTATTAATGTGTGTCCTGAAGAGTTTGCATCAGATTTCTAAATGTCTCACTGTATAATTTGTAAGAAGGTTTATCAGCGGAACACAGACATTTCAGCTTGCATTTAGTTGGTTTCAGCTGGCTCAGCAGAGAATCTGCTATGACAATAGGCCGCTGTGCTAAAATAAAGCTTTAGTATAAAGTGATGTATGTTTGTGTATCTTACTCTCTTTTTTTGGGCTATGAAACACACAGTGTCATCTCCCTGGGGCATGCTACTAAACAAGGGAGAATAGCCATTTGGTCTATATCTACACTGCTTTGCTGCTAGCTATTCATACTTGTAGCACTAAAATTTAAGAATTTCTTAAGTGGACTAATTAGATAGCATTGCTATTTGGCATGTTGTGTGGGAAGAATTAGAGCTCCCGTGCATTATCACTGCAAGTGCTTTAAGAAGGCTGTTAACCTTTCAGTTTATAACACAGAGTGTGGCACAGACTGAGAAGGTCTGTAACACAGTCTATCAGGAGCTGTGAGGACAGAGTTGAGACAGGCAATGAGCTAACATTTACTTATTTTTAAATTTTGCTTCACGTCATGACCTACTGTTTATATTGACAGCCCATTTTCATAATTCAGAATAGTGAATTCTATTGTCCAAAAAATGGCAAATATGATGACAATTAAAACACTGTACAATTGGTACATTATGTCTGAGTTAAGACCTTTTGGTGCAGCTTTATGTTTGCACCCTTGTAGAGATGTACAGAATGAGACATGGAGGCCCGTCATGAGTTCTGTAGGATGTTAAAGAGACATTTCCTAGGCATAAGTGATGGTGCTACAACACAGCAACAGTCATTAGCCAGACTGACATGCTGATTGCAAATGAATGCTAGATAACAACCAGACAACAGCAGTGCCCTAGTTGATTCTCCTCATTTACAGCATTCATAGTAATTATTACCTTTTGAGCATCAGACAGACACACAGGCATCACACACAGACACAAACACACTTACATTTTTCATCACCTAAATCTCTTTCTTACACATACACGTATAGTTTCCTACTATGGACTCAGATGGGCCAGTGAATTTTGGCCTTTGGTATTTTGACTCAGCAGATATAGAATCCATGAACCCCACAAAATAACAACAGCAAAGCCTCTGGCAATGGCATATTCATGGTCCTTCACCTACTTCTCAGAGCACCCGTCATCTTTTCCATGGATCTACATACATGG